AGGCAGCGGTGTGTGGGCTGGAAAGGATGCTGTGGAGAGACACGCAGGAGGCCCAAGAGACACCGGGCCAGGGGCCCATGTCTGGGGAGGCAGAGGAAGCTCAGGCTTCCAGGGATGCTGCCAAGCCCACGGGGTGTGTCTTCCAAAGTCGAGGGACCAGGAGGGGTGTGGATATCAGGAAAGGCAAGAACCGGGTGTTGGACATGCAGAGTCTCAGGTTCCTAGAGTACTGGGGAGCCCAGCAGGCCTGCCAGGGGCTAGGGGAAGGGCTGCAGGCACAGGGTTGGAACTCTCTGGAGACCTCTCCCAGCCATGATGTCTACAATGGCAGCTGGGCCAGGTCCCCGGGTGACAAATGAGGACCAGGATGGGCAGCCGCTACCCCGAGCCACACATCCACACAGGCTGCACATGGACTTGGGCCCCAGCCTGCTCTGCAGAGGGCCTCGTCTGCCTCCACTTCCCCATCTGTGAAATGGAGATAAGAGCTTTCTTTGGATGGAGCCAGCACCCCAGGAGCTGGACTAGGCCTGTCAGGACGTGGTAGTGGTGTTTGTACCTAACACACACATGCAGTTCTCACACACACACCTGAGGTGCGGCCTCTGTCCCTGCCCCCACAGTGGGCAAATGCCTGAGGTAGAAAAAGGCCCGCCAACAGATCTGAGCAGGAAACCCCTGGTATTCTGGGCAGTACTGCGGGCAGCTCGGAGCTCCCATCACCATCCTTGGCCTCCCTACTTGTCACCTGCTCTGAGTCGGCAGAGGAGCCTGTGCTGATTTCTCTGTTTTATCCGAGAGCTACAGCAGCCACCCAAAGGAGACCCCAGGAGGCAGAAACAGGGAAAGCACAGGTGACCATGGGGCAGGGTTGCAGGGGCACAGGCCTTCCTGGAGGTGGGCTTAGTTCACCCACCCATCTCCGGAGCGGCAGGGCCTCAGAGGTGCTGAGCTGGAGGCCACACTGCTGTCCTGGTGTCTCCTGTCCCTGCAGTGCCAGGGCAGCCAGCTCCTGAGGAGAGGCACACAATGGGAAGGAGGAGGCCCAGGTGAGGCCCGTGAGGCCCAGGCAGGCTCTCTAGCCACCAGCTTGGCTGTTGCTGCTTTTGAACTCCTGGCCTCCAGGGTTCATCCTGCCTCCTGAGTAGCTGGGACGACAGGCGTGTGCCACCACGCATGGCCTCTCATTCCCCTTTCTTCTTCCCTCTTTTTCTATCTTCTTGTTCTCTTGCTTTTTTATTCTTCAGCCCATTTGAGTGGGTTTTTGTCCTTTGCAGCCAAATGGGTTCTCATCATAACCATAGTGAGAACCAGAAAGCAGGGCCCAAGGTGAGAAGATTCTTCTTCCTGCAACAGCCTCTTGCCCTGGCCCAGCATCTCGGCCACAGAACTCAGAGCGTGCGAGCCAGGGCTGCCTCCTCCCCCGCCTTGTGTGCCCCAGCCACAAGGGGACGTGCCATGGGGCATGCCACAGCCTGAACATGAAGGAGAACACACCACCACCCCGCCCCCAGAAGCCCCAGTTTGACACCCACCCACTGGGGAAAGAAGAGAGACACATGGAGAAATTCTTAAATAGGCTTCTGGGTTTTTATTCAAAACAACACGGGTGGTGGCTGCCACTTGGTTTCTCTACACCCGGGCCATCTGGGCCAGCAGGTACCAGCGCCATCAGCAACTAGGAGGGAAGTTCATTCACACCATAGAAACTGTACAGCGACTGGGAGCGCTATAATCACAGCGGCAGGGCCAGGCTGAGGGCTTCCTGGAGGAGGCAGAGACTGCCTCCTCATCAGGCCCCAACTCGGCCCGGGCTCTGCCAGGGACACTGATTATTGCACAAAGACAAAAAAAGAGGATGTGTATCTGGGCTCTACAGCGGTTTCTAAGACCCCAAGCCCTTATACAACGCAGCAAAGGGGATCCAGGGCAAGGGCTAGGCGGAGACAGGCAGGCAGGCCGATGCTATGCACGCTTTGTCCTGCTTTAAGAGGCTGCCTGGCGCAGGGGGAGGCGGGGCAGGGGAGAGGAAGGGCATCTGGACCAGATAGGCCACAGCCCCCACAGGTCCTGGGTCCCTCCATGGAGGTGCTTAGGTGCCACCACTCTGCAGAGCCCGGTGAACAGACGGCTTGGGGAGTCTGGCACCCAGGTCCCACTCCCCCGAGGGCCGGGCCCACGTGAGTCGGGATAAGTTTGTGCTTTTTGGATGAACAGGCAGGGCCTGAGGTCACGACCCCAGGGCACAGGGTTGGGGAGGGAGGAGGCCCATTCGCCCAACCCCTATCCGTTTTGGCTTTTCCAACAAATCCCAGCTTCCCTGTTCCCTGCCCCTGCCGCCCACAGGAAAAAGACCAAGTGCCTGGGATCAGGATACAGCCCTCCCGCCTCTGTCTCAGCTATTCCCACCCTCTAAACACACCCTGCCTGTTCTGACCCAGGAGCCTTGGCTCACGCCTCTCTTGCACCTGGAACACCCTCCTGCCCATGTCTGCTTGTTCCAGGTCACATGGTTGAGGGTAAAGGGGGACTTCATGTCAGACCTGCCTAGGACCTGTGGAACCACTGGAAGCCCAGGCAACAGCTCTGTGAACAGGGCACACGCACAGGGCTGCCTTGAGGAGTCAACAGGTCCGCTGCTGGAAAACAGAGGCTGCCCAACCAGGGTCTGAGCCCGTCCCCCGGAAGCCAGACCGTCCGCCACAAGGTCCCCCACGGTCACACCGCCCACCTCTGGACTCCAGCACACATGGTCCTGAGCAACATGCCAACCTGCCTCCTCTCGGCCACCCGTGCTCGGGGACAGCCAGATGCCAGACAGGCCAGCCTGGCCCCCTTCCTCCCCAGACAAGGCACCAAGCCCCGATAAAACCACCAGCGTGGAAAGGGAGGCTGGAGCAAGGCTCTCTGGAGCAGGCCATGTGGGGTGAGGGCCCAGACTCTCCCACGAGCCCACCAACTCTGGGGGCAAGAGGAGGCTCAGAGGGGCTCGGTGGCCAAGCCAGGCTTGACCGTCACACCAGCTCCACCCCAGCGTGGCCAGAGGCCCCGACCAGGCTGAATTCTCTGAATCTGCCCTCCTTTGAAACCCAGGGAAGGCTTTCTCATAGCCCAAGCGTTTGGGAGCTGGCCCCCTGGCGCCGCAGCTTCTTGGCTACCAGGGCCCTGAGGGATCCTGGGCTGGCCACCTTTCCATGCCTCAGTTTCCTCATATGTGCAGTGGGCCTGACAACCTTTCCCTGCCCTTCAGTCCCTCAGCTCTAAGGGGAAGTGCTCTGTATGCGACAAAGCGCATGTCACCCTCCACCTCCGCCCTGTGCGACAGTGTCTAGGCCCCTCCCAGCAGCCCCCTCCACACACTCACCAGCCTGGCTGCAAGCCAAGAGTCTCTAAAGTCAGGACTTGGGAACCAGGACAAGGCCTCCCTGGGTCGGCCCAGCTGAAGCCCTCAGAGTGACCTCAGCGAAGGCAAAGGACCTGGTTATTGCTGCAGCGTGGCAGTTCCCAACCTCACGGCATCTCTGCTGCATCTGCAGACACCACTGCCAACACAGTCCTGAGCCTCTTCTGAACCCAACTAAATCCACGCACATTTAAAAACGCAGTCCTGGCCTAAGCAATATGTCTGTGAACTATGATCATAAGTTCAGAGTACTGTTTCTTTCTAATAAGTACTGAAATAAATGCACAACGATTCAAATGAAACACACCTGTGGAACCCCTCTGGGAAGCGCTACCATCGTGAAACCTGACCTGCAGTTGGGGACAGAGAGCAGAGATGAGAGACAGAGGGTTGGGCAGACGGGAAGCACAGGATGCAGCCTCTGGGGTGAAGAAGCTGGGGGTGGGAAGGGGGCTGGTCCCAGGGCTCGGGCAGGTGCCCCCGCCCCTGCCTGAAAGCCTGTCAGGTCTGCTTTGCCCGCCATGGCAGGGGCAGAGCTGCTCAGGGCTGGGAGCACAGCCCCAGGTGGCCATAGCTCAGGGCCTTGTGGGGGTAGAAGGAATAAGTGACCACGCATTTAAGCCTGAGCCCCTGCCTGAGCCCAGGGGTGCCTGGGGCAGCCCAAGCTGACGTAGACCAGGTAGGCACTCCAACACTCCAAGGCCCTCTCCTCTCCTGTTGCCTCTGTTCCTGCCCTTGGCCTTCCTGGGAGCAGAACACCTCTCAACCACCAGAAGTACTCACTGAGCCGGGGCCTCATCCAGAACCAGAGTACCCTGCCCAGCCTTGGGGCTGTCCTCCACCCCCACCCCTGCCCTAGGGAAACATGAATACTGACCCCTGATTTTTCTAAAGAAAGACATCTAACCGGTTGACTAAGAGAGTGTGTGTGCTCTGGGGTGTCTACAAAAGATTTCACAACAACGAGACAGTCAGGATGACAAGACAGACACCCCGACACGTGAGGGCCATACGGGATCTTAGCAGCGTTTCTTCTTTAAAGGAAAAAAAAAACGCACCCTGAATTGCACCTCTTCTTCCGGGCCTGTCTCTCGGCCCCGGGGCCCTCAGAGGCCTGAAAGAGTCCACTTCGAGCCACTGTCAACCCAGGGGGAAACACCACAAAGCACGGCTGCCAATGCTGCGGCAGGACCTTCCACCCCAGGGTGGGTCCGGCCTGGGTCCTGAGTGTCAGACAGAACCCCTGCCCAGGCCCTGGTCCAACTCCCCACCTTTAGCACTTTCTGGAAGTCATAAGCTCTCAGTAAAAAAAATAAATAAATATATATGTCTGTCTATGTATATATATATATCTGCATATATATATATGTATATGCACTGGAGGGGCCAAAGCTGGGCCACGGACAGGGCCACGGCTGAGCACTGGCAGACCCTGACCTCACTCAATCCCCCCCTCTCAGCGGCCTGGTGCCCGACGGGGCCTTGGGCGACTCCCAGGTGTGGACAAAGTATTGCTGTCTGCTCCCTGGCTCCTGAGGTAAAGAAGGTGAGACGGGGCGGGCGGGCGGTGGGCGTCCGGCGCAGCCCCTGCGGCCCCTCATCTCTTCCTCTTGCTCGCAGCGTCTCCGGGCTCCAGCTCCCCGGGGGGCGGCGGCGGCTGGGGCGCCGAGGGGCCCGGAGGGGCCTTGCTGTGGTCCGCGGCCCACGAAGGGCTCCGGG